GCCCCCGCGCCCCGCCCCCCCCCCCGGGGGCCGCCCCCACCGCCTCCCCCTTGGCAGCGGGCAATCATTAACCGGGGGTCAAGGCCCGGCCCTGGGCAGCCCCAACCCCACGGAGCACGAACCCCCCCGGCAGCCCCCGCTGCCGTCAGCCCAACACCGCTGCTGCAGAGACCCGATAAGACCCCCCCCACCATCCGCATCCCATGACAGGGGGGCACACGTGAGGCCCTTATCAGCATTCCCAGCCCCAGGTACACGCGGGGGGGGACAGACACCCCCCCCACCCCCCCCAGAGTGAGGCACAGCGCTGGCGTAGGAAGGAAACCTTTATTGAGTCCGAGGTAGCAGCAGTGCGGGGGGCAAAGCCGAGCACAGCACAGCCCGCGGCCCCCAGGGGGTCACTGCAGGGGTCCGGGTTCCACTGGGGGGTCGAGGAGGGGGGGGGGACAGGGGACATAAAAAAATAAAGCGGCCCTCATCACTGCTAGGCTGGGAGCAGCAGGACAGCCCAGCACTGCTCAGCTCGCCTTGAGAGACAGAACGTTAAAAAAATAAACCATGAAGAGCCGTCGGTGACAACACGCAGAGGAACGGAGGGAGCCCCACGGTCGGGAGGGGAGGGGGCTGTGTGTGGCCCCCCCCCCCCCGGAGCAGCAGCAAGCAGGCACAGCGTGGCCTCACGCTCCCAGCACAGCAAACTTGAAGAGGGCCATAATGGCAGCGCTGATGAGACCCGAGATGGGCACGGTGACGAACCAGGCCATGAAGATGTTGCGGAACAGGCGCCAGTCCACCGCTTTCCTGGAGCGCAGCCAGCCCACCGACACCACCGAGCCCACCTAAAGGAGGGCACTGCTCAGTGCAGCCCCCCCTCCAACCCCCAGCGCCCCGCTGCTCAGCACCCAGGGTTGCAGCTCTGCCGCCCACCCTTCTCCCAGCCCTGAGGTTTGCAGCCCCTCCAGGAGCGCACAGAGCCACGCTCAGCTCTCAGCTCACAGCCCTACCTTGCAGTGTGTTGTGCTGATGGGGAGGCCCACGTTGGAGGCGATCACCACAGTCAGGGCGGATGCCAGCTCAATGCTGAAGCCACTACAAGGATGAGAACAGGGAGGAAGGTGAGACAGAGTCCAACCCACAGCCCGCCTGCACCGTGCAGACAGATCCTCTGCACGGTGGCACCAACCCCTGTGCAGAACAGGGTGGGTGTGCGGGCAGGCACTGCCCACAAGCTGCACTGGAGGGGGTCAGATCTCCCCCCCGGGCACACGCAGCCCCCAGGAGCAGAGCTCCACCTTACCTGGATGGTGTGATAGGAGTCAGGTCCTTGCCCATGGTCTGGATGACCCTGCGGCCCCACACCCACAGCCCGATGCAGATCCCCACACCCCCGTAGAGCAGTAGCCAGATGGGGGTTGCCACCTTGGTGGCCACGTCACCCGTTTGATAGACCAGGTAGAGCGCAACCAGGGGGCCAATGGCATTGCTGCAAGAGAAAGGTGAATGGTTCAGAACCCAGAGCGCAGCTCAGAGCTCCAGGAGCAGCCGTGGCACTGCTGGTACTGACCTGACATCATTGCCACCGTGAGCAAAAGAGCCAAAGCAGGCCGTAAGGATCTGCAGGAACTGGAAGAGGAGGGACACCTCGGGCTTGTCCTGATCATGCCACTCTTCCAGCGAGCTGCTGCTGCCCTTCCTGTCCCCGAGGCCCATCTCCACTTGAGCAGCATTCAGATCCACGTCGGCTGCAGGGTGCACATCAGCCACTGCATTGCAGTAGCTGGTGTAGCTGTCCATGCGGACCCGCTTCTTGGTGTCCACCACAGGCCACGTCAGCTTCTCCATCTCCTCACCCTCCCTGGCCCGGAGGGAGTCCAGGGGCATGCCGCAGATGGCCATGGTGTAGGATGTGTAACTGTTGTTGCGACGCAGGGGTTTGTCCCCCGAGTCCCCCATGCAGTCCCCCATTTTGGCCAGGTGCAGTTTATGCAGCAGCTCCTTGTACAGCCCCGAGTCCTTGTGCACGGTGTGGTACTGGTACTGCCCGCTGGAGTTCAGGTGGTGGCCCACAGGTTGGTGGAACTGCACGAGGTTTCCATTGGGCAACTGAACGGCTCCTGCAAAAAGAAAAAGCGGTGAGCACCCAACCGGAGCCACAGCGCAGCCCCCAGCACAGCCCCCAGTGCTTCTCACCTCCATCCACGTTGGTTTCCTTCAGGTCGATGCTCGGCAGCCGCTCGGGGGCCTCCTCTGCGTCCCCCAGGTTGAAGGACACCGTCCTCTCCTCCACAGCCACCCGCTGTGGCACAGCAGACCCTGCCTCAGCACTGGGGCTCTTAGCATCACCTGTGGGAGCATCGCCAAGGGGCACCTTGGGCTCCTCGTGCTCCTCCTTCAGGCTGCTGCTCTTCTCCATCAGCGGGCTTTCAGAGGGACTTGATTTTATCTCTCCTGCAGACAGAAGCAGCTGCCGTTACATCCCAACCCTTGGCACAGCCACGGAGCCACACCTGCCCTGGATAGTGCCCCCACGCTCACTTTTATGGCAGATCAAACGCTTTACAGCTCCTCCTGAATCCTGAACTTTGCTGCTCCCCTTCCACCTCAATGCTCATCAGTCATACCTTGTCCGACACGCGGCAGCCAGGCCGTCACAAGCCAGCTCATCTCCTATTTTTATCCCCCACACACCCACACGGGGTGTGGTGAGCACCACCATGGGGCTTCTGCCGGTTATTCCTCGGGCACAGATCCCTCTCCCAACAAACAAACCTCCCTCAGGCCGCCCTGCCCTGCAGCCATGCCGTGAGCCATCACCGCTTCCACATGGTGATCCGTGCCAGGCTGGCACCCCCCCCTCCCAGGGTCCCCCCTCTCCATCACAAAGCTGTGAGCCCAAACACCCCGATTTGCCTCCGCTTTCCAAAACAAGCCCTGGAAGCTGAGGCTGCTCCCATAGGCTGGAAGGAAGGAGGCACACAGTGAGGCAGAGGAGGGAGCCTGCCCTGCAGCTGCGTGGAGCTCCAGCAGCTGGAAGGGTTCCGAGGGCAGCCATAAAGCTGTCAGTCACACCCCAATTACAGCAGCTGACAAGGACACTTGTTATCCCCTCACCTACAGGTCTGCAAATGAGGAAGCAGGCTGCATGCCATGTCTGTATGCGAGAGCACGCAGCCCTCCCGTGCTGCTAGAGCTACAGGACTGCTGCTGGGGGTGTTTTTCAATGGGTATTTCTGCCCTGGGGGGAGGATTTCACCAGCCTGCACAGCTCTGTCTCGCAACCCGCATCGATCCCCAGGAACACTGGGATTAAAGGTTAGCAGCCTGCAGTGCAGGCAGGGCCATAGGCTGCCAGCCAGCAGCACGGCACTGCTCCCAGCAGGAATTTGGGGTCCCCCTCATGCTGTGGGGTTGGCCGGAGGCACGCGGGGTCGACAGCTCTGCTGCACACACCCAGAGCAGCTTAGTGCTAAGTGAAGCTGCAGATCCCTGCTAAGAACAGCCCCACGGTAATGAGATTGGCCGCTGCAGAAAGGAGCTGGCTGGAGCAGCTCGCCCTGCCTGCAGAGCTGCAAACGCCGGGTACTTACGTTCAATTTTCTTCTTCATTCTCGGACATACAAAGAACCAGACGACGAGAGCGCAGACAACAGCACTCCCCGCCGAAATGAGGAGGATACCCCAGAGAGGCAGTTTGTCAAAGCCCAGCACTAGGAAATAAAACAAGGGATCTTGAAACCCCCGGGGACCCCCTCCGTGTCCAACTCTGCTCCCCCAGCCCGGAGACCACACAGAAAACAAGAGCTGGACCTCACAGAGCCCCGCCGGGCCACGGTCTCCCCCATGGAAAGCTAATCTGTTCCACATGTTCAGGCACTTTCCCTCCCTCCTGCAGCCAAACCCGATTAGTGCCCGGTGTGCATTCTGCCTGAGAGCAACAGGAACGCTCTCAGCCGCCGCACAGCCCTGCGTCCTGCCTTGCTGCAATGTCAAAGAGAACAGCAGCACGGCTGCCGCAGCACCACGCTGCCTGCCTGGCACACGGGGACCTCAGCAGCTCCAGGAAGGGGATTTCTCAGCTGCACACCCCAGCTCAAAGCTCCTGCTCCGACACCTGCCCTGCAGGAGGAACCCGAGGTACCCCATAAGTGCCTTCTGGCAGGGGCTGGCATGCAGCCCCCAGACCAAGCAGGAGGTGGCCCTGCTGAAGGCAGCAACACGCTGCTCCCTTTGCACCAACACTACAGCTGCACAACACTTCGAGCCCAGAGCACACAGCTGGAGGCTACAGCCCCTCTGCTGCCTCCTCCTCCTCCTGTGGATGCTGCAGGGAAGCAGACACCCCCCGGAGCCTTCCAGGCACTGTTTACAGACAAAACCCTCGGAAGCCAACGCTGCCTCCTGTCACTCCACCTCCAGCCTCCAATGACCTCTTCCACTGTTCCACAACAGGAAACCCACTCAGACTGAAAACAGCTCATGCTGAGAGCTCTGCCTGATGGAAGCTATGATTTGTGTGTTTTCCTGCACCACCTGCCCTCAGCTCTGTGGGCACTGCTCTCTGTGTGCCAGCCCGGCAGGCATCACGGCCGTACCTTGCCCGGCCATCCCCCTACACAACAGCCAAACACAAACACATCAATCTGCCGTTCCCAAAGGGGCCACAAACTGCGATACGAGCTCCTCTTCTCAGCACAGGTGCCAGCTGCAGCACACCACCTCTTCTCGCCAGGAAGCCTCAGGGATAATTAGTTTACTCCTAAGGGCTGGGTGTGCGGGAAG